ATCTGTATAAATCTTTAATTCACTTAAGATGATGAAGATCCAGTAATTGGTTCTGAAAAATTACAGTAAACCACTTGCATTGTGACACAATCCACTGGAATCTCCAAAACATTTTGTAGGTCCAACACTTTGTTAAATTTGTTTAATTCCCATAGCTATTTGGTGTTATAAATCTAGGTATATATTCTTGCATACTTTTGATTTTAATACGTTTAAAATGATGACCAAACAAACTCAAAGTCGGAGAAAGTTTAAGCTAAAGAGAAATCTCAGAAGTCTTACTTATTTTGAATTTAATTTATTAATTCAGCAAATACTTGAAAAGTCGGTTTGAAACAATCGCTTAGGAAAGTAACAATGAAGTGCTAAATCTCAAAAATTTGAAGAACGAGTACTCCTTCAGATAACTTCTTAGACATTTGTTTCTTCTCTCACTTCCGACCCACAGAAGGGAGTCTTAACTTTTGATTTTTGGTGAGCAATCTTCCTATTCCTTTTATTTTTGTTTACAGATTTTTAAACAGACTCAACAGTGCAGTTGCATTTCCAAATACTGGGACATAAGTGCTGCATTATTGTCGCTGAATTGTTTCCTTCGATCAAAATAAATTTCTCTAACAAGGATATCTTAAAAAGACACAGAAATCATTACTAGTTATACCAATGTTATATTTACATAATTTCTTCCGTATACTGAAAGACAATAATAATATCTTTAATTAAGGGCGGAATCTATGGATTTTATATCCACTTGTTTCAGATAAGATTCTGATCGAAAGATGATGTAAGGTTATTGGAATTAAACGCTAAGACGACAGAGGAAGAGGACATCAAATTTATTATCAGTATGGTAAATCTGACCCTCGTTCATTAGAACTAATCGTGGCTCCTTTGAGTGACAAATTGCTGTTGTCCTACGTCCCGTCAATCTCGATAGCTCTTGATTCGATATGGCATATCATTTCACTGTGCCGCTTTCGCTTTATTGATATCAGTTTCTTCCTGTTCTCGACTTAAAACCTTTGACACAGTAACCAACCTATTCGGTTTGATCAAATTCAACCACGATCGCTATTACTCCGACCATACCAAAAATACTTTACATTTCATTGATAAAAAAAATTTTGAAATAACGGAGTAACCACAAAACTGATTTACTCATTCAGAGTGATGGATTTTGTTCTGTTTCATGATTGAAACTATTCCATTTAATGCATTTAAGGACAGCATGCAGAATAGATTCGAGGCAAGAATTCTACGAAAAAAACGATTTGTTTAATATAGATATTGAAGATGGAAATGGCAACGCATTACGTGCATCACAATGCTCGATTCAACCTTTGGCATTTGCAATCCAGAGCTCAGGAAAACCAGTTAATTCATTTGTAGGCGATCCAGAAAGGATTAAATGACATTTACAGAAAATACTTCGTGATTTAATCGAAATCAAACTACCTTAAAATGGAAAATAAGGACGCTGCAACACCTACCGACCTGAACAGTAAAACCTCACATGCACTGACTGTACTAATCCATAGCTTAGCTTGTATTTCGGGTTCTTCAGATCCAGGAACAACTGTTATGGACCCTTGACTCTTTTCCGCAATTTTTCCCTGGAAATACTGAATTAACTTTGCAAATACATATTCTTCTATCGTACATAACGTGTATACGAATATATTAAACAAACTGACAGCTTCATAGTATTAAGGCGAATTTTCCATCTGACAGCCAACGAAAAGTCTTGCAGAAAAATAAGAAAGAAATCACGGCATGAAAAAGCATCTCGTTACAGTGCATTGTATTTACAGTCTGACTGACTGCTTACTAATAATTACTAATAATAGGAGGAAAACAGCCTATGCTGTATGGTGTGTGAATAAAACTACACATACATAATTTCTGGGAATAC